ACCCCGTGCGGCCAGCACCTCAGTTTCCCCGGCGGCTTCCTCAGCTTCGTCCTCCTCCTTCTGGAATGTTTCCAACTCCTTTCGGTTGTCTTCCACCAGTGACTGATACAGAGATTCATCCCAGGGGAAGTCTATGTTCTGAGGCGACTTCCGCGAAGCCAGCATATTTGACGTAATCAGGGACTTGGTTGGGTGCTGGGCGACACCCTCACCGGAGTGGTTCAGAATGCCTTCGACGGGATGAGCGAGGTGTCGGTAAAAGGGGGCCATCTTGTTCTCGGAAATAACATCTTGAAGTCTCTTCAATGATGTCTGTCGCACTGTTTGCGGGCATGCAGGGTTGGAGAGGTTGAAGACATGTTGGGCGAGGTTGAGATCAGGGTACTTTATGTACTGCGGATCGGACCCCATGTTGACGAAGGGGGCTTAGATATCGAGCTGAAAAAGAGACACGTATAGACAATGTAATGAAGGAGCTATGGAGCGAAGCTTGATGGTCAAGGGAGCAGAGGGTCTGGGGTCGATGATGGATGAGGCAGATACATCACCTATGGAACGTAGCTGACCCGAGCTCAGCTGGGGAAACGTTGTTCCGGTTGCCGAAGCCGCTTCCAAGTTTCAACAGCCATTCCAACAGTTCATACGCTGAACACCATCAAGACCTAAATAGAATCGTTATTATCTGGAAAAGGGCTCTGCCCAATATAATAGTTACGAATCTTGTATTTTGGTCGGTGGACCTTAGCAATGCAACAGGTATCGTTTCGATTTGAAGACAAGCCGTCTATGACAACTCGAGCGAATGCTTCTAGGCCGCTTGATTATCATGCTTGGCATCTATCATTAGACGAGATGTTCAAAAGCCATCATAGCTTCCTTCTCATTGTTCTCTACAACATGTAGAGGTCGATGTCACATGACTGTGTATAATTGGAGGACTCCGGAACAGCAACCGAGGACAGAGTACCAAACGTAGAAATGATGCCTGCGAACGAAGTAAAACCATTATAGAATTTCCGAAGTGTCACCGCGGGTATGTTGCGCGTATACTACGTACAGATGATCATCCACGGAGTTGACTGTTTTGGTGGGTTCCGTGATTAGACTGGAGTAAGATGATCTAGATAGTTGTTAGGTGGAGGGAGGACCACACGTGCGCTCATGGCAGGCTAATAACTAATTACGCAGCTTGATCACTCGGAGCTAAACCGTGGATTGTAACGGATACCGTTCATCGACGCTGCTTCCTTCCAACTGAATTGTCCCTCATGGGCGAGTTCGTATGAAAAAAAGCTTTAATACCTGCATGGTAGTAGTTCGATATAAGGTCAGTTAAGGGTGCAGCTGCCACCAGATCATTGAAGATGTGGCGGAAAGCCACATCCGACATTGGTGCTTATCATTTGCATCTAGGATGCAGTCTGCTCTTAGTCTTGAGAGGCGGCAGAGATATCCGTAAAGTAGGCAGGCTAGGTGGTAATCGGGTCTGACATGCGAACTTGTACTTTGATGGCAAGGTTACCTCGGGGTACTCCGGTATCGAAAGGCTGTCTGTCCACTAGTCGGAGAGCATTGTCCGCAAGTGGCTGGTCAAGGTATGATCCCTTGCCTAGAACAAAGTATACCTTATTCATGAGTATTTTTCGGCCTTGCAGCGATGCTCAGCTTCTTGGAATAACGTACAGGAAGTGCTGCGTCTAGCACGTGCTATGGGGCGAGTAAAAATTTTCCGTATCAGACCAGACAAGGTCGACGAGGCTAAAGAATCTCGCATATGCTTCGATGAGATTCGGCTGTTCAAATCAAGACTGAGGCATCAGCGAATAACAGCACATGGAGACGGGGTGAACTACACCTTAATAGGCATAGTGCATAGTTGGGCTTGATAGGGAAGATGGGGTACTGGGATCCACTTACCTTCTTGACCCGCGGTGATACTGACGCTAAGGCTACACAGGGAGGGGCCAATACAACCTCGCCGGCCTGCTTAGCGTGGGAAATGGAAGACCAAGGATCAAAGAGGAAATCCATCATGTGCCTTGACGCTGTTCTCTCGCTGGTCCTCTTGCCCACCCAAAGTTTTTTTTCAGTCCCATTTTCCCTTGTACTTATACCTCGACAATCCTGTTTCTGCCCTCTCTTTTCCACTGATCTTTTACTCTCACCCCCTCTGATATATAGGCGCAATCGCTCTTTAATTGTTCCTCCTTCGTTGTCTTCCGAGTCCCTCATCTTGGCAAAAGTACCTTTATTCTCTCAAAGACAATTGCTCTGTGTATACACACAGTGAACCAATTTCTCTTCGTTTGCAATAATCCAAGGCTGCGAACCTATATTGACCTGCAAAAGCAGTCAGCATGGAGCCAAAACCGGACGTTGAGTCCAAGGTCGATGTTCCTCCCGAAAAGGGCCCCGCCTCTCTTGACGCGGTTCCTCTGGAGGAAACTGCGGTTGGCAAGAGCCGTTGGGAGCGCAGTTGGCCCACGATTGCATGCGGCGCTGGTCTTTTCTCTGATGGCTACCTCAATGGGGTTCGTTCTCTTGACATGGATTACTTTTGTGGCCGTTGGTGGTCTTGCTAATCTGGCTTGTCTACAGATCATCGGACCTGTAAATACCATCTTGAAGAGACTGTACCCTGAAGAATACTCCAACTCACCCGCCAGCCAAAATGTATCCTCTATCACTTTCGCCGGTACTGTGGTCGGCATGCTTATCTTTGGATACACAAGTGATCACTGGTCGAGAAAATGGTCTCTAATGATCTCTACGATAATCTTGTTCCTCTTCGCCGCTCTGTGTGCTGGTGCCTATGGGTACCATAACAGCCATTATGGTCTTTTTGCTGCCCTTACTGCATACCGTTTCTTCCTGGGTATTGGAATTGGCGGCGAGTACCCTGCAGGGTCTGTCGCAGCCGCAGAGAACACTGGTGAACTCAAGCAAGGCCATCGCAACCGATGGTTCGTGATGTTTACCAATTTCCAAATCGACTTTGCCTATGTTGTCTCCGCCCTGGTTTCAATGATATTGGTTTTGATTTTCACTGAAAACCATTTGCGTGCGGTCTGGCGTATTGGTTTGGGACTCGGTGTCATTCCACCTCTTAGTCTGATCTATCTCCGGTTGAAGTTGGAGGAGCCCGAGGAGTTTAACCGGGAGCGCATGCACAAGTTCCCTCTTTGGCTGATTATCAAGTAAGCTGCCTGGCTATTATCAGTTATTGCGTTCAAGACTAATCACACATCACAGGTTCTATTGGAAGCGTCTGGTTTGTGTGACTCTTCCTAGCCAATGCGCAGGGTATTACTAACCATAAGCAGTTTATATGCTCATTGATCTGGTTCCTCTATGATTTTTCTTCTTATTCTTTCAGCATCTACTCGTCTGACTGGATCGCTATTATTCTGGGAGACAGTGCTCCTCTCTGGCAGAGCTTCGGTTGGACTACACTGACATATACCTTCTACATCCCCGGGTCTTTTCTAGGAGCATTGTCGAGTGATTGGCTGGGGCCCCGCAATACCCTGGCCCTCGGTGTCTTGCTGCAAGGCATTGTTGGGTTTATCATGTCTGGCTGCTATGAGTATCTCTCAACGCCTAAGAATGTCGCAGCATTCGTCGTGGTTTTCGGGTAGGCTCTGGATTGTATCATGATACTATCTCATCTGCTAACTTACAAACCTAGCATTTTCTCGAGTCTTGGTGAGTTTGGTCCTGGCGACAACATTGGACTGTGCTGTGCCAAGAGCAGCGCAACCGCTGTACGGGGCCAGTTCTACGCCATCGCTGCTGCGGCTGGAAAGATAGGCGCGTTTGTTGGGACTTATGTGATCCCGATCATTCAAGACAACGCGCCTAACAAGATCCGGTCCGGTCAGGACCCCTTCTTCGTTTCCAGTTCACTCTGCATCTTTAGTGCTGCTTTGGCCTTTTTCCTCCTGCCAAACATCGGACAGGTATGCCATGCTTTCTGGTTCCATCCAGGCGAAAGTAGGCTAATCGTCCCTACAGGACACCATCACATATGAGGATGCCAAGTTCCGGGCCTATCTAGAGGCTCATGGTTACGACACTTCTGCCATGGGCAACCGAGAGGAGCGGTAGTCGATTTCCTCCTGCAACCCGCGCGCCTTACGGACCTGCTAAAACAACGCATCTGAGCCGCTAGCCCGGACAACGTCCCAGCCTAACAAGCGCCAACCTTCCCGTACCCCAAGCGACATTCCAACAGACGAACGGCCCATGCAACATCTTTTAAGAAAGCCCAAGCAGCGAATGCGCGATGACCGACGATCGAAGTTGGTGTGAAGATGCCCAAGCGACCCCGGAAGAGAACACGCCCAGACGCGCAATTTTGGTAACAAACAATTCACCCGATTGGAGCCCCTGGAAAGGATGCTCGGGGTCATAAGTTAAGAGAGTATGGTTAATGACTCGATGACTATGTGTCAGTGATGTAATGTATAGAAATATTATTATTATGCTTTATATTCTTTTGTCGGAGGAAAGAAATTAGCAAGCAAAAAAGTGATTGTTGAAGACGAGCTGGACCCGTAGTTCGCATGGCGGGGAGAGTGGATTAGGGAGGATCTTGTGATTGACAGCTTGGATGGTCCGACCAGCCGAGGTTCCAACTACCGAAGTCTTTCACCTCCAACAGACGGGCGATCGCCGGCCGCTCATTTACCGATCCTATCATCCAGCAGCCAGCCCTCGACCCCTACTACTACTAATATCCTTTTCTCCGCCCCTCCCCCATCTTTTTCTTCCTTCCATCCTTGGTGCGGAGTATCCCTTTCATCTCCCGTCTGTATCACACCTTGAACCTCTCCTCTCCATCCGCCAGCCAGCCAGAGCTTCGCCTTCCTTTACCGTCCCCACGCCGTCCCGACACCGCGCGGAATTCGACTCCCGCCTTTTTCTACCCTTTCAATAAGTCACCGACACCTTCTCGAACCCTCTCCATCAACCCAACACATACACCAGCCATTTTCAATATGGTCGCAGACGCTTTGGTTTACCACCCTGCCTTGGCGCATTACCTGCGCTTTGTCGCAACGACGGGTACGTGCCGACATTCTATCTGTCCTGCGTTGCTGGTTTCTCGGCCGGGAGAGAGCAAGGTGCCTCAATGCAGGGGACCTGCCTCTCGTGCTTTTGGAGGATAAATTAATCGGATTGCAGAATATCACTAACCTTTCCACAGTCGGTCGCGATAAACTCCTCCGAACCTTGCAATACTTCTCCCGCTTCTATGCTTGGTACCTCTACCGTACCAACCGCCCCCAGTCCGCCATCGAGCCTTTCAACGCCGTCAAGAAGCAGTTCGGAACAACTCGGAAGATTCTGCGGATCGGCAAGTTTGTTGAGCATCTGAAGGCAGCTGCACTGGCCTCCGACAACAAGAACCCTGTTGACCCTGTACTCCGTTATCTCGCCGTCGGCCGTCAGCTCGGCTACGCGGGCTACCTCTCTCTCGACACAATCACCGTTATCGATACGATCGGTGTTCGTAAGCTCGCTTCGGCCAAGCGACTGCAGGAGCACGCTTACCGCTCATGGATGGCGGGCTTGGTCTGCAGTGCTGTCGCGGGTGTATACACTCTGTTCAGGTTGCGGGAGAAGGAGAAGACCCTCGACCGCAAGGAAGGCGAAGGTGTCGTGGAAGCCAAGAAGCTTGAGAAGTATGTTGTGTTTTTTCTGGTCTGATCCTCTGGCGCTGAATCAGTGTACTAATATTGTACTTTCAGGGAGCGCTCTGCCGCACGCATTCAGCTTATTTCCGACCTTTGTGACCTGAGCGTGCCAGTGTCCGCTCTCGGACTGGCATCTCTCGATGACGGTATTGTGGGTCTCGCAGGAACGGTCAGCAGTTTGATTGGAATCTGGTCCCAGTGGCGGAAGACTGCGTAAGCTGTCGCTGCTAGGACTGCATCATGGAGATCGATATCAACAAGGCCTTATAGATAGTTCTTTCTGGCCCTCGTCAAACGCCGTCTGCGCGGTTATTGATACTAGAATCTGACACACCGGTGATTATCGGGTGTGCTCAGACTAAGCGAGAAACAAATACTGACGGGTTGGACTAACTGAGCGTTTCATGTGCGAGGCGGGTCCCAGCCATTTATTCAACGGATTCATGTAACTTAGAGCTTGTTCCCTTTGTTTGCTTCAGCCAAATATCATTTGTCCTCTGTTGCACCTGTTACTCTCCGGTTATACCATTTCTTTTTCGGCTCTCTATCTATTCCCATTTTCCGGCTGAAGTTGATGCATCGCTTCCACGCTACACTTGCAGGTCCGAGCCACTATCGGATATGTCAACTGGCCGTGTTTCGCAAGAGGCCCCTTGCAGCCCTCGCATTCAGGCACTCAAGCTGGCGGCTACTCGCAGCAAGAGCAGCCAGTTTCTGAATCAACCTAGTCCTCCCCACCACAGTGCATAATCTGGCCTTTGTCTCAACGCCAGCGGGTGATTATGGCCATTGAGCCTGGAATTCCTAAAACAGTCATATGTCGCCAATCGAACCTTGCCTGACCAACAATTGCCCTTTTTTCTTCTTATAAATTCATTGATCGAGCTGTCTTGCATACTGGGCTGCAGTACCACAGTACCATTTGACAGACAAATCCAGAGCCACCTGCATCATCAACCAACTTGGTATGCTATTTTTGTCTTTCCACAATCTTATTGTTATCAATATCTTGCTTCCTTCCATCCCTTGTTACTTACTGATAAGCCTTCTTTGCTAATAGACTAGACGTTGACACGCTACATTGCCCACGGTCCATTGCATTCCTAGAGTTACGTACGAACCGAAAGCTTAACTTCAGACCGGCATGCAAATCTGTCTTCCGCCCATCGGGATGCGGCCTGGCCTCTTCATTCCTGGTTCATTCCTATCTACGCCTCGCAGCCAAGCTTCGAAGCTGCAATCCCTCCTGCAAGGGAGGCTTATCAGGACCCACTATGTATGCATCCTGTCGGAATGGTGTGACAGCACCAGGCTCTTGTACAGTATAGTAAGGGGTGACCAGGAGTTCGTTGATGGTCTGGCCGTGCTGTATGAACAGGCGGCCTCCCCCGACTTTCTACCCTAGCCAGGGCAGAATCTGACTGGTATCTTTGACCGGCACAAATAACCCATTTACACCAGTCTCCCAGACCTTGACTTTGAATGATTGATGGTCCTCAGTATCTATCTTTGTTAGGATCCATGCGCGATTTTTCTAACTCGACTTGGGAGTGAGGCTTGTTTGCCCCAGCCGGACCCAGTCAACAGCTGTTTTGCGTTAGCAGGGATGTTGCATCCGTTTCTTGACGTTAGCAACTTCAATCTCGTTCTTTCTGTTACAGGTGAGGGGAAGCGATCCATATTCATATGGTTTAAGTGGGGAGCTAACACCCTTACGAGGCCTTTACATTCTCCTATTTGGCTTCGTCTCCCTGAAGGTCAAACAAAGATGGTATCTTGGTGAAGCCCGTATGATTCTACATCCTACATCAAAGGACGCGATACTGATCCTCCCAGTGCCTGCCTTCGTTGTTGGCATCTGCTTTGGGCCAGCTGGTGCTAAGTTACTGACCGTTTCTCAATGGGGAGGTGATAGTGCCAACGAGACCAGCGAGATAGCCTATGTAAGACCACCGGGTAAATACTGGAAGCGACAGTGCTGACCTTTCAGGGCTTGACCCGTCTCGTCATTGGCGTTCAGTTAGTCAAAGTGGGATATGAACTACCCAAGAAATACCTGAGGCAACGCATGGTGGAGATGATCATCTGCCTATTACCATTAATGACCATCTCATGGCTCGCAACTTCTGCCTGCATAAAGCTTGTGATCCCGCACATCTCCTTTGTATGTCTACCCTTGCCTCTATCTGTGCTAGCACTGGAGCGACTAATCACCCGACGAAAGCTCTCAGCACTCATCATCAGCGCTTGTGTAACATGCACAGATCCAGTCCTGTCCCAGGCAATTGCGAAAGGCCCTTTTGCTGACAACTTCGTCCGCCGCCCACTACGAGAGTTCATCTCCGCCGAAGCAGGTGGCAATGACGGCTTCGGGTTTCCCCTCTTGTTACTCGGAGTCTCATTCTTGCGATACGCCGAAGCCCCGGCCAACACACTCAGCTTGGAAGAGTTTGACCTGGAACGAGGAGTCCCAGATGTTCTCGGGACAACTGGAGTCGGACGTTTTGGCGGCGGCGCAGGCGTGGCGCTCAAACACTGGGCTATTGAAGGAGTTTTGTACATGATCCTATTAGGTGCAGCCTACGGTGCATTCGTAGGGTTCGTGTCCCAGAAGCTGCTGAAGAAAGCGGTCAAGCACAGGTGGATTGATCATGAAAGCTTCACACTTGTCCCAGCGGCAACTGGATTGCTCCTTGTTGGCACGTGTGGCTGTTTCGGTTCCGACGAGACACTCGCCTGCTTCGTCGCTGGGTGTGTCTTGAACTGGAATGGTCTTTATCACGAAGAGATTCAAGCTCGACATGATTCGTTCAACTCGACGATGGAGACCTTGCTGAATTTCGCAGCGTTCATGTTCCTGGGGGCGACCATGCCGTGGGAATATTTCCAACGTCCCCATGATACGGGGATAACACTCTGGCAGCTCTTTGCATTGGGATTCCTGATCTTGGTGTTTCGTCGCATTCCAGCTATTCTGGTGGGATATCGCTTCATGCCCAAGGTCTGCAGCGACTGGAAAGAGGCACTGTTCCTAGGACACTTTGGGCCAATCGGTAAGTTTGAATACCTTTCTCCGATCATCTCATGCTAAGACACATATATAGGAATTGGCGCGGTCTCATACGTCGAGTACACTCGTCGACTATTCCCTCCGCCGGGACAAAGCGACGAGGAAATTAACAGCATGACGGCCGCGATGGTACCAGGTATGCATCTTGCACTCAGAAACCGCAGGTAATCTCTAACTGATAGACATACAGTCGTCTACTGGCTAGTCCTATTCTCCATTGTAGTCCACGGCCTGTCAGTACCAGCTCTCAACGCCCTCTACAGCATCTTCAACGTACCCCGTATCTGCGACCACCCAGTCACCGTCGTCCTTCTCTCAGAGAACGAACCTCTCCCTAACAACAGCACAATCAACCCCCAACGCCATTCGATGGTCCTCAACAACCGGTTCTCACGGCCATCAGAGAGCGAAAACGACCAGGAACAGGAAGACAAAGAGGACACGGAAACCATGCTTCGATCGAGAGAAGAGAGTCCCGATCGGAGTATAGAGCGCCTGTCAACGCAGTTCAGTCGGTCGATTAGAACCGTGGATATGAGAGATTTGGTGTGATTTTGTACCTCTACGAAGAACGAAGCAATCATCTCTAGTTCATTGATTCATTTCATCTCATCTCATCTTATATTCATCGTCGTCGTCGTCATCACTCGTCAACACATTATACAGCCACACCCCGTCCCTTCGCCTACTTTATCACATCCCCACACCCACAACCCCATGAACGCCATATATCATCTCCAGATCGACACCGAAGGTAGTTTAAACAGGGCAGGTCTATCATGAAATATTGTAATTAGCGAATAGTCCCGTTTACTGTGCAGAAAAGAACAAAGAACCACGTACCTTTCCGCAAGATCCACAGGTCTTGGTCTCGCCAGGGATGGCAGCGCCGCAGGAGGGGCAAGCTTGGTGAGCACCGGCCATTTTGATAGTTTGGATGAGTGGTGATAATCTCGTGGAGAGAAATGAAGTTAACTATGAGTCATTAGTCAGTCAATAAATATCCTGCTTATCGTCATCAGAAAATAACCAAGTCTCCTCCTTCTACTCACCTAAATGTGTATGAAGCTAGAAAGCAGAGTCTCGATAATGTACGTAGAAAGTAAGCAAGAGAAGAAAGGGGAAGCTACAAATAGATAAATAAATAGTTCTTGACTAATCCCTCAGCGATGATTCACGCATTTCTGGCTGTGCTGTGCTGGCGAAACCCCGCCACGGCGAGCGCGTGATATTCTTCTTAGTAGTACTTTGCCCCGCCTGATGCGGGATCGGCGGGACGTGATTGGCTACTGGGGTTGTTTGATAAGACAAGAAGCGAGTGTGCACGACGCAGATGATTGTTTTTGTTTTTTTTCTGTGAAGAATTGCTTTTGTGGGTGATAAGTCATGGGAGGGTCTTGGTTAGCTGGTGTGCATTAGGAATTCATTTGTGAAGTGGTGGGACTGGGTATTGTATCGTGATGATGATGTGTATGTGGTGATATTGTTGATGATCTTCTATCGAGTGTTGTGCATGTGAGTGGGGTGGTGGGTGATCGACGAATGTTGCCTGGTTCAATAGTTAAGAGGTTATGGGATATGGTGTGCTCTTTGGTTGCCTTGAAGTGTATAGTAGTAATGGAGTGGCAGTGGAAACCCCAGGGGTTCACTGTCGAGTTGTGGAACAGAAAATATGTTGACCATAATTGCCAGACAATACGTACCGTCCATAAGAGATCCATTTCCCTCGGTCTCTTTCTCCAACTCCATATCACAACTCCAGACTTTCACACTCATCATCACAAACTTAGTAATGACAAAGCCAATCCCTTACCAGGTCCGTTGAGGAATCCGCCGTCGTATTGTCAATAAGAACCGAAAGCTGGGCATCACCTCGAGAGCGTTCCTTATCTTTCAGCGTACTGCGTTAGATCGGGTCAAGTCAGGAAAATAGGCCTAACAGGACTATGCAGGGCTAGACTTGTTGCTTGGGACAGAAAGTAAGGGAAATACCCTTACCAGGGGACATCGCAGTCAGCCCAGTCATTGTCCACGTTCAGATCCTAGACTCTCGTGCTGAGAATGCTCATGTCGCCGTCACGGGAGGCCATAAAATGGTCTGGCTCAAGTCAGCTTTGCGGGCTTAGCTCCTTGGGGAAATTCCAGGGTGAAGTTAGTGGTAGTGAGGAGAGTGGAATGCATTGGGGTTGAGATGGTTTAGATAGTTTATAGAAAGACGGGGGTACTTGTTTCAGGCCTGCGATCTGTGGACCGTTAAGTCAGATGCAATGATGCTGTGGATTTATTGTCTTGCTGTGCGGGCACTCGGAAGCTTCTCATTGACCCTATTCTAAATCCTTTGTTGTTGTTGGGGTTAAACATGAACGCTGATGCGAAAGAAGCAATTCTGGATGAGATTGTCATAATGCGCTATGGTTAGCTGATCCCTGGGAGTGATATGCGCCTATCTCGTCAGTTGTTGCTGAAGTGAAGCCAGACAGAATGTAGTACTGCTTACCTTGCTGAGGACACTAGCTGCTCAAGGTACACAATGTTAGCCATTAGCGAGGTGGAATAAACCTTGTGGTTTATATATAGGCCGGACAGCCGTTTACACGGCATGGCAGGCGCGGACTCTGGTTGCAATCGCGGTTGAGACGCGAAGTTTCAGGATTAGTGACGGACATGGCGTTCCAAATTGCTTCTGGGATTGTGCTAGATGAGATGTATGTCATTCCTTGTCGAAGAGGTAGCTTATTGAGCCAGGAATCGATATCTGGACGAGTTGTCTCGACCTTGTTGATGGCCATCAGAGAAACTTGTCTAGCTGGTTGCTATACGCAAATATGGACAGTATTCTGCGAAGGCCAAGAGCTGAAGATGCAACACTTGACTAATCTTGTAACATTTGCAGTTACTGGACTTGCATGTAATAGGTTTCGAATACCGACGAGTCTGGAGGTCTGGATGCGGGATGGTTGTGGCCTTCCTGAATCAGTAGTTTCCTTTTTCGGATTCACTATATAAGTTGAGTTTCTTTTGTCAACTGATATCCCGTGATTCACCGAGCCACTTCCGATTTGTATTCTGATTTTTTGGCAGATGCTATGAGTCTTGCCGAAGGACTTGACTAATATTTTGATTTCTTCTCCATGAGAGCAGACTATGAGGTATCGTAGCCAGTCGGATCTTTAACAAAGCAGAATTTACTCATTAGATTGACTCAGCTCAAGTGATTTTTCCAAAAAGTATCATTGGGAGACAAGAGGGTGTGGACAAAACTACAATGAGAGACACTGCACACAGTATGTCGAACAATTCACAATATATCTAGCAGATACAATTTGCTCCTGCAGATTGACAGTAACTCGCGAAGTGACAGCAAAGCTTCTCGGGTTATCGTAGTCTATGCAGCATGCACACAGGAGCTACCTGTCAGTGCAGTCTGCAGGTGTCCACACTAGCCTGAACTGGTAAGAAAAACCCGATGCAAGTGGATAACATGGATTGGCACCGAGAAAACAACCATCACGCGCACACAACATAGGCAGATGTCTTAATCAGGAAGAGACAAAATAGTGGTAGCCGGTCTAGATGAACGATTGGAGCTACTTTTCAGACTAGCTCGGTCTGGAGTTCTTGCTAAATCCAGCTGAATCCTTCAACTCGATGATTGTTTCCATATATATCACTATGTCGAATATAGAAATAAGTCATGTGCACAGGGGGAATTGGAGAAGACTGTTTCAATTCGCCAGGTTGCGCTTCCTCCACCGTACTAGTTGAGCTAGCTTTCGATAATTGTACTTTATGCCATAATAAGAATTTCTGTTTTGGCCAGTAGAAGATCCGACTGAATCATGTTTCTGCTGCCTGCAATCAATGCTAGTACGCCACTCCTATGTGGAGTTGAATGTCGTGTTTACGACCTCCGGTGTCTAGTGCGGAGGAAAATATATAATGTGGTACCGATAAAGGTAAACTTGATACCCAAGCTACTGGCTAAATACAAGTATTGCGGCCTTAGTTCTCTTCTACGTTGACAGCATCTACTCCAAAATAACACAAAGACTGCAAATAAATGCATTGCAGGGCCTCAATGTATGAAGTGGTGTATGAAGTGGTGGCAAAGAAGTCGGTGAAGGCAGATGTATCGAATTAGGCACGGAAGCTAACAACCCGTTAGAGGAGCCGAACTGCAGTTCGTATCCGACACGAAAACCCAATGATAGGTAACACATAAGCACAGAGTAGGACAGGTGACTCTTTTGCGATGGGAGGCCACAATGTTCAGAAACACTCGTATAGACTGCCCATCACCATCAATAGTTCGAACAAACCCCTCTCCAACCATCAGACTACCGAATCCACAAACCGGAAAAGCGTTTAACTACGCTCTAGCCGGAATCGGACAACCCCCAGGGGACGAGAACATCCGGGGAAAGGCCCGCGTGGCCCCGGCACTCCTCGGATGCGGGGTACAGATTGCTGCTGTGGCTCGATAGGGGAAAGACACCGCAATGACATCTTGGCTGATTCCAATGCCAGGGCACGATTTCTCCGTCGCATCTATCTACCGTGATAACATCCCGGGCTAGGTGCTCTTGGCTAAGTCGTCATACGCCATTCCTTTGATTGTCCGCGTGGGAGGCAAAAATGGGGGTTCTTTCAGGCACCTGACCAGAGCCGGGGGCGGCAACTCGGATATTCTTGGGATTTCGGAAAGGGGCCAAGTTGATCTATCATGTGCAATTATCGTGGTTGCTACAGAGTCGGTAGCCCCTTTTCTTATCTACTGAGCAAAATAGAATGAAATTTCAAATTCCTATGCATCTCATATTTGAAACCTACCGTCTGTAGATAAGAACTGAGACTCATGTATGAGGGATATTACTGCAGTAAGGAGACCGGACGGGCATCCTTCAAGGGTCCACGTAGCGGGTTAACGATGGCAAAAACCCGCATCGGTATGACATGAAATCCCAGAAATGTGACTCGGATCCAGCTGATAGCTCTCATTTGCCTCAATTTACAGCTCACCCGAAAATAATGCTCGAGCCCGAAAAGACGGCAATATCTTCTGCCCATGAGAGTGACGTTGGATTGTCCATCGGTCGCACATGCCGATGCTGATTGGTGGCTGGCAGGAACGTTTCGGGAAGGGGATGACTAAGATGATACCGGAAGCGGGAAAGTGCGGACGAGGGGAACCCGAGATTCTCCCCCGGCATTTCGTCACTCGGAAAGATTCCTTTCGCAATCGCTGCTTCTGCTTTTCTGGTCGGGCCCAGACTTGAATGCAGTCCTAACTCTGTCTCCATTATGGGTCAGTTCTCAGCCAGTCCTGGCAATGCATTACACACGAGTCGCCTGGTCGGGTATAGTCCAGCCCTCCTAGCCGAAAAAGAAAAAAAAAGAAGAAAACTGCTTTCCCCCCGCAATTTCCCTAGTCTAGCTATGGGAGTTTTTAGTTATCGCCTCTAGACTCCGTCTTCTTGCATTGAGCTCATTCAACGTCACCACTCCAACTCGTTCCATCTACCCGTTTCCCTACGTCCATTGTTATTTGTTCGGCCAGCTAGAAAGAGTAGACGGTCCTTTTGTCCTTGGAACTGAGTAAATTGTAATTGAATGAACGCTTTGCAGCATCCATTCACTCGATGATCCGGTGGTGGCTGCGCGCGGCAGGCTCCAAGACCATCACATAATAATAAATACCTCGTTCCCGTAGCGCCGGGGCCACGAATTCCCACTCTGCATCACTAGCAGCTTAAGCGTCTATCCCTGTACTCCAAACCACTCCAAACCTGCGTACCAACTCCCACTAGTGCCGTTGATGAGACATTAATTCATCATCCCCTGACGCGCTATCCGTGATACCGCCTCAAATCTCTGATCCTGTTTCCGAAGCTTGTGTTATTTGCTCAACTCTAGTTGGTGCATCCGTCATCCCTTCCGGGACCACCTCGTGCCCACATCCTGGGGTTCGGAACTTTTCGGGCTTCGATTCGAGGCATTTGTCTTCCTTTTCCACTCTTCACGATAACCATCGCCGTCGAGACGCGGTCTGCTGCCCCGACATCTTCCGTGGAACGGTGGAGTAAACATTTCCAGCTGCGATTCCACACATTCAGGCGTATTGGATCTCCCATCATGAGTCCTGCGACAAACATTCATATACCCCCCGTTTCCCCCGCCGAACCTGGTCCTCTTGCTTCAGATTTCTTCCAACAGCAACTCGCAAAACAAAGAAATAATAACTATCATTCTACCTCACTAAGAAACATGGTTGCTGCTTCGGTGAATCGCACTGCTCTGCACCCTGGTGGTGTTCAGTATGTCTTGTCCTCTCCTTCTATCTACCCGTTCCTTTCTTGATATGTTGTCGCATTGCTCGGGGTTACCCTCAACCACTCGCGCAATGCGTCGCATATCATGCCATGACCTTGCCTGGTATAGATCGATGCTAACATGACCTTCCAGGCCGGGCAAGGGTCACACTGAGCTCGAGGAAGAGCTTCACGAACACGCCCACATTGACTATGACCGCGTTGCTATTGTAAGCTCACCTATGGCAATGTTTCTTAACCCTTGCTAACCAGGATAGATTGCCAACCCTGCTGTCCCTGCTCTCTACGAAGATGCTCTGGTCTACGAGACTGGTACCGCTATCACCTCCAGCGGTGCCCTGACTGCCTACTCTGGTGCTAAGACTGGTCGCTCTCCCTCTGACAAGCGTATCGTCAAGGAGGAGACCTCCGAGAACGATGTCTGGTGGGGACCTGTCAACAAGCCCATGACTCCTGATGTACGTGCTTTCCGTTGTTTTCTTTTTTCTTGGTTCTCCTGCAAGTGCAATATATCGCGCATGAGGATCATCCCTTGCATGATTCCGCAGCTGGCATGGACCCAAGCTTTTCTGGCAGCACGACGGGAGGAAAGAAATGCCTCATTATAGACTTTTTGAGGCATTTTTGATCTTGCGACTGCTGTGCGACACAAAAGTTTGGGTTTTGTCCGGTTGTGTTCCTGAGAATGCTTGTTTCACCAGGTTGCGCCTGGTCGGGGTTCTCCAGATGACGTCATCCATGATCCGGACTGTTACTAACGGCATCCCGATTTGCAGGTCTGGCGCATCAACCGTGAGCGTGCTGTCGACTACCTCAACACCCGTAACCGCATCTACGTTATCGATGGTTTCGCCGGCTGGGACGAGAGATACCGCATCAGCGTCCGTGTCGTCTGTGCCCGTGCCTACCATGCTCTCTTCATGCGCAACATGCTTATCCGCCCCTCCCAGGAGGAGCTGAAGCACTTCCACCCCGACTACGTTATCTACAACGCTGGTTCTTTCCCCGCCAACCGCTTCACTGAGGGTATGACCTCCGCCACCTCCGTTGCCATTAACTTCGCCGAGAAGGAGATGGTCATCCTGGGTACCGAGTACGCTGGTGAGATGAAGAAGGGTGTCTTCACCGTCCTCTTCTACGAGATGCCCGTCAAGCACAACGTCCTGACCCTCCACTCTTCGGCCAACGAGGGCAAGGATGGCGACGTGACCGTCTTCTTCGGTCTCTCGGGTACTGGCAAGACCACTCTGTCTGCCGACCCCAACCGTGCCCTGATCGGTGACGACGAGCACTGCTGGACCGACCGTGGTGTCTTCAACATCGAGGGTGGCTGCTACGCCAAGTGCATTGGCCTCTCCGCCGAGAAGGAGCCCGATATTTTCAACGCCATCCGCTTCGGATCCGTCCTCGAGAACGTTGTCTTCGACCCCATCTCCCGTGTTGTCAACTACGACGACTCTACCCTTACTGAGAACACCCGCTGTGCTTACCCCATTGAGTACATTGAGAACGCCAAGATCCCCTGCTTGTCCGACAAGCACCCCTCGAACATCATCCTCCTCACCTGCGACGCCCGTGGTGTCCTTCCCCCGATCTCCAAGCTCACCACCGAGCAGACCATGTTCCACTTCATCTCGGGTTACACCTCTAAGATGGCTGGTACTGAGGACGGTGTCACCGAGCCCCAGGCTACCTTCTCCTCCTGCTTCGCCCAGCCCTTCCTGGCCCTGCACCCCATGCGCTACGCCCGCATGTTGGCGGACAAGATCTCGCAGCACAAGGCCAACGCCTGGCTGCTCAACACCGGTTGGGTTGGTGCTGGCGCTACCACCGGTGGTAAGCGTTGCCCTCTCAAGTACACCCGTGCCATCCTGGACGCCATCCACAACGGCTCCCTCAACCAGGTTGAGTACGAGACCTACGATGTGTTCAACCTGCACGTTCCCAAGACCTGCCCCGGTGTTCCTTCCGAGCTCCTCAACCCCAAGAACAGCTGGACCGCCTCGACGAACTTCTCCGACGAGGTCAACAAGCTTGCCAAGCTGTTCAACGACAACTTCGGCAAGTACGCTGACCAAGCGACGCCCGAGGTCATTGCGGCCGGTCCGGTGCCTCAGTAAATTGTTTCCCATTCTGTTTTTCCATTTCCTTTTATCTGCTTTTGATATCTTGCATGGCGTGCTGCGTTTCCAATCATGGGTCATTTGAATCTTCCACTACCATGTGTGTGGCCTACCCCGGCCGGCGGGGAAAATACCATTGGCATTTCCTTTTGGGTTTTGGCTTCTTTAGAAGTCGCGGTAACAATTAGAAATTGAATTCAAAATATACCTTCAATCACATCTATCACGTAAAATGAACTGTAAGAAAATCACCGTAGCAAGCCATGAATCCACAGCGGGTCACGGGGATGAACAGGGGTCGATCTCTGACTCCACATGTGATCGCCATTTAGCGTCTCCGACTTGTTCCTTCTTCTCTGCAACTCTGCTCTCCGTCCGTATGCCATCTACAACTGCTTGTAGCCAGCAAGTCTAACAAGTTTCACATAAAGGCGTTTTTCAGCCAACCTCCTTCCACGTTGATTCTACATGCAAACCTAGTTGCAAGCTGCACGCTGACGCGAATGAGCTCTGTAGGCTTGCATCAACCGATGTACTTCAATCTCCGAGGAAAGACTTTGCAATGACTGGCCTACACTTAAGTTGCTTCTCTTAAACTTATTACATGCTACGTGCCGTGTCATCAGAACTATGTTTTCACCCCTGGTCCTCCGACTTACACAGGGGGGAAAAGCAGACATCAGAACGTCAACAAGCTAATGCCCTTACCTCTTTACGATATATATTCATAGGACTACTGGGACAACTACATTGAAAGATTTCCCTCGACACCTGGGTGCCCTACCTCCATCATGGTAGTAATCCAGCATCTCTTACTCGGAAAGTGGACCGAAAGGTTGGTTTTTAGTCATACCATCAAAATATTACTGACAGGAATAGATATCTACATCCGAGGAAAAGACTTGCGAAAGGAAGTCCACTACGGAGTGATACAACTGGGGACCAATAATCTCTTTACCTTGACGAACTCAAACGGACATGCCAAGTCGAGTAACACCGTCGGACCTGGTTTCCCAAGCGCTGCCATGCGGGGGTTCGAACCGAAGCGTCTGTCGCAGGTTCATAGGTTCCGCGACGCCCTCTATCTCGTGCAGACAGATGCGAATGGCAGCTCGTGGGGACGCCAATGATCGTGTCAGACTGGTGCAGCTCCTTTGCGTTCGGCGTAATCATCGGTCTTGTATGCGGCAGGTTTGTAATCTGCTCTGCAGCCAGCAGTCCCAATGTACGCTGTACCATATCTCGCGCTATCATCGCCTGGTCAATAGTATGATGGCAGACGCGGCGAGTATGTCCATATGCGTCTTCAGTCGGTTGACCAAGGCCCGCCGTTGCTGTTCGGTCTCCTGTTTCGGTAGATGCCAATACTCAGATTCGGATCCCACTTCCGTCAGCCTATGCGCGAGTCTTCTACCTCGCAACTACCTCATGCATACGAGAAACTGGCGTACGAAATACGGAACGCATTTCCCACGGTAGTGATATCCACAGCGGCCCATTGATGCAGCAATGTACATACAATCAAGCCTGCAACAAGGAGAAGATACGCGTCTCACCAGCCGTGGCAAGATACCCGTACGGTCGGGTCGAAGAAGACGACACAATCAGATCCCAGCCGGGTGCAGCGTCAGCACAGGCATTTATAGTATCCACAGCCTGCTGTATTGCCCTCCACAAACACGTACCCCCCGGAACAATGGCTGCCCAACAAAGCAGAGTCAAAGACACATCAATCTCGGCGTTAGCTCGGCGAAGTACGCGCCATTCTCGCAAGGCACGCGTGCGTGCATCGGGCGACATCTAGCGCAGTTGAAGCTCCAGATGGCGTTGGCAAGTATCATGTGGAGCTACGACATGCGACGGCCAGCTATGACCGCCGCAATGATGGGGGCAGGGCACGCGGGGCAAGCATTGGGCGAACGAACGCGCAGAAATTCTAACTTTACGACCAGATCATCAGCAAGAACGAGGCCGGTCATTCAACTTCGGCCGCGCGGGCACACACAGCAGAAGACAAACCGAGTCGGCTATTCCGCCGGATACAAGGAGCAATATAGGCCGCCAGAAGAGATGATAGCCTGCAGATGACAATACTCCGATATGAGATGGGCATTCCAGCGAGAATCGGCTGTTTTCTTTGCAGCTCGCTTGTGGCAGGTAGTCCCCACAGACAGGATCGTAGTCTAAGCCCCAGTAGCTAATCCGCCTGGGGGCCTGGGCCTCCTGACAGGGTAACCAGCCAGTCAGCACGCTGCTGATTACTCCTTGCTGGGTCCTGTCCCGGGAGAGTACCCGAGGGATAGAAGTGAAGCTCACCGCGCGCGACTACCGATACCCGCCTCACCCGCTCCGGGATCCCGAGATGTGCTGCCGCCAGGGGGGAGTGGTTGCCGCGAAGGTATCCGTCGCCCCAGTTCATCCACTATCGAAGATGCAGTATGGAGAAAGCTGTGTTTTATTGGGATAGTTGGGGATAGGGAGGACCCTTTTTGGAATTGTAATTCCGATACGACGTGTATTACTACTAACTAGCTAGGTTTGATGGGTCTGTTTGTTGTAGGTAGATGTAGATTCCCAACAACTTGGTGACTCCTGGAGGCAGTGGGCTAGGAGATCAGTGCTCCGGCATACAGCCAACAAACCCTTCCAACCGAGTCATCCACCTTGCCGGCTACTTGACTGGGACCCTGCGATACGATCATAGTTGCTACGCCACTGAAGTGCGTAGTCATCACATTGTTACTGAAGTGAGGACGGAGGAGATCTTCTCCGGCTGACAGTGGCAGGCAGCACGAGGGAAGATCCGAAAGTCGGAGGAATCGGGAGAAAGGAGATAATCCAGCATATAGTAGGAGATCTGAATATGATTATTCCGGGGGTGCATTATTGATATTGTAAATGATGTTGTGAGTGATACCATGTTTCTATTGCTGTTTCTCTACTAGTATTCTGAACGGTAGCTAACGAGTATCCTAGTGTTTGGTGAAGTCGAAAAAAAGAATATGTTATACGACCAGATATCTCCGAAGTGACAGACAGTACCTACCTTAGACTGATCGACGAAGACCAAGCTTTGGAGAAAATAATAATAATACCAAGTGGCATTATTACCACCGACATTACTAACCCACTTGGCAAACTGGGGAAAGAGGAGATAGGAGATAACCTCGGGAAGGCGGCAAGAAGCAGCGCAAACCGGACCGTTCTCGTGGTTAGTCCCGATTTGGTTTAGTGTAGGTGTGGGGAGATTACGGTAATTACTTTATGTACGTATGATGGACGATTATTCCCCGCCATGACGTTTTGGTATTAGTAGCTTGCTGTTTTGTATCTATTTCTTTTTTGTTGAATACTTGCAATACACGGCATGTTTGGAAATAAATCGTACTGTTATGAGAAGAGAGAGAGATATCTATCTATCAGTAGAGACAAGAATAACAACTTCATCATAGACACAGAATCATATGAATGGAACATCATCAGACGTGGCAACCCCGCATTTTCCAGCTGGCGGCATCGTGCAGCAACTAACTACAACTCTCCCAATACTTACTACTGAATACTATACTAACTAAATCCTCATCGATCGCTCGGGCCTTAAGTTTGGCATCGGCTAACAAAGTGGGGATGGAAACAGTTACCCAGTCTGGAGAAGATTATTCGAAGTGTCAGTCAAGTAATTGCTGGTCGGCTTCTCGGATAGAATGAATCAATGGCATACAAATACATCATCGAATCCCCGTCAATGCTACCTTGACTCATGCATCAAGTTATTATAAGTATCTCAGAATCAACCCACCCAAGATACTTGCTTTCTTGCTTGCTTGCTTCCAGTTGTACAACCTTCGCAACAAATTAATCCATTCACTGCTCACACACACACACACACACTCTCTCTCTCTCTCTCGCCTCCTCACTTCTTCCTTTCCCATCATCTGACTGTTCCAACTTGTTCAACTCCTCCTCCAAAAACCGGTTCACCACTTTCCTACTCATTCTCGTCGGGCCTTTTCGTGACTTCGACCGGGTTCCCCTCATTGCCCAGCTGTGCTTCCACGGTACGTTGAATCTCCCCTCCCGCCCATTTCATGTCACGGTCGGTCATGCTGAGTGCCTGGCAAAGAAAATCTGTCTTTTCTTTGCTCCGCCAGGCACTTCGTATCCTTATGGCTAGATGGTCTTTTCTCCCTGCCCCCCCACCCACCGCGTATCGTGTTATCTGTTGATTCGCGTTTCATCCTTCGTTCATCTGTCTTCCTCCTCTTATATTCTTCGTTCGGCGCGTCTCATCCGCCCTCACTCCTCAAAAGTCTCCGCATTAACCCTCGTTCACCTCTCTAGATCTGGTGTGAATCCTGCTTCCTCGTCAACATGGCCTCCCCCACCGCGGCCAAAGAGCCCCAGCCGGCCATGGATTTCCTCCATCACCCTTACACCCGCGCTGCTCTTCCCTTCGTGAACGGTGGCCTCGCTGGCATGACCGCCACGGTCGTGATCCAGCCCATCGACATGATCAAAGTCCGTCTGCAGCTCGCCGGTGAAGGTGTGCGCACCGGTCCTCGCCCATCTGCCTTTGGCGTGGCCCGCGACATTATTGCCTCAGGCAAGGCCCTCGATCTGTACACCGGTCTGTCAGCTGGACTTCTACGCCAGGCCGTCTACACCACCGCCCGCTTGGGATTCTTCGACACCTTCAGCAAGACTCTCAACAAGCGTGCCGAAGCCGCCAACCGCAGCGTCACCTTCGCCGAACGTGCCGGAGCCGGTCTCGCTGCCGGAGGTATTGCCGCCATGATTGGCAACCCGGCCGATCTGGCGCTGGTGCGCATGCAGTCCGACGGTCTCAAGCCTCCCGAGGCGCGGGCCAACTACCGCTCCGTCATGGACGCGCTCTTCCGCATCTCCAAGCACGAAGGTGTCCCGGCTCTGTGGGCGGGTGCTTTTCCCACCGTCATCCGTGCCATGGCACTCAACGTCGGCCAGTTGACCTTCTTTGCCGAGTCCAAGGCGCAGCTGAAGAAGCATACTAGCCTGTCGACTCAGAACCAGACCTTTGCCGCGTCCGCTATTGCGGGATTCTTCGCCAGCTTCCTCTCCCTGCCTTTCGACTTTGTCAAGACCCGTCTGCAGAAGCAGCAGAAGGATCCTAAGACCGGTCAACTTCCCTACAAGGGCGTCTTGGATTGCGCGCGCAAGGTCGTCCAGGAGGAGGGCTGGTTGCGGTTCTACCGCGGCTTCGGAACGTACTATGTGCGGATCGCTCCTCATGCGTTAGTGTCTCCACCTTTGCTGTTAGTGACTTAGTAGTGCCGTTGGCTAACCCCAGACCCACAGGATGGTGACGCTTATCGTGGCCGATTATCTGAACTTGATTACCAAGTAGGGTGCAGTGATTCAGTACGATGTTTCGCTTGTCGACAACTTGATTTCAGTGCCGCGGTTTCTGTCGTTTGATGATGATTATTGCACAGGTGTGCGGATCTGGTTGCACTGTCTGGAACAGATGCAGGAGAAGATCGAAATGCCTTAATGATTGTGGATGGATGATGGTGTTTCGATGGATGGTTGATGTTGTTTCAATGGCTGTTTGTATTTATTATACCCGTGTTTTGCAGCTACTAGTGATTTAAATAGAGATAGGCAATAAAAGTCTACTCTCATGGCAGAATCAATCGTATGTAACTAAATCACTCATCATACATAGAATCATACCCTTCCCCTTCTTCCTCTCCATCCAAATCAACTTCCTCAACATCGACCATCGATTCCGCCCTCTCCTGCTTAATCCTAGCAGCAGCAGCGGCAGCAGCAACAGACATCCCTCTCTCCCTCTTAACTCTAATCCTCTTCTCCCCTTCATCATCACCACTCTCACCATCATCATCATCATCCCCATCATCAACCTCAACCGCACTCCCCCTCCTCCCACTCCTCTTCCTCTTCCCCCCACCACCACCCCCGTCATCATCCTGACCATCACCATCATGATCCTGACTCTCCCCCAACATCTCCCTCTCCCTCTCCCTCAACTCCGCCATCTCCGCCCTCTTCACCCGTCTCACCAGCACAGGATCACTCCGTAGATCAAACTCCGTCAACTGCACCTCGCACACCGGACACTTGACGCTGCGCACGCGCTTCCTCGCTCTCCCACCTCCTCCTCCTGCAGATATAGATCCAGATGATCCAGATGATCCCCGCGGATCAGGCACCATCTGATTACTCCCGCCGATCATGGTGAATATCGCCTCGCGCTCGAAACTGTGTGGGCATTTCGTGCTGCTGACGGGGTCGCGGAAGGGGAGGAGGGTGAGGGGACATTTTAGGGAGATGCGCTCGGTTTGGATGGCGATTTCGTCGTCTTCGGAAGCAGAGGGAGAGGGATGGCGGGGGTGAGAGCGGGTGGTGGTGGTTTTGGTTTGTCTGGTGGATGCAGATGTGGTGGTGGTAGTGGTGGAGGTAGATGGATGGTGGGATGGAGGTTGTGAATGGGGATGATGATCTTCGAGATGAGAGAACCATGTTGATGGGTGAGGTGGAGGAGGGATCTCGTCGCCGATGTGTTTCGCTTCGTGGATGATTTTGTAGAAGCCGATGTAGGAGTTGTTGGTTGTGTAGCTGCCAGAATCTGTGTTAGTAACCTGGCAAAATATGGTATTATGGAGATGGGGGGAAATACCGTCTCGTCAAACTCAACCCATTATACTCCTCCATCTTACCCTGTAATTCCTCCTCAAACTGCGCCAGGAACGGCACCGCACCCTCTTCATCCTCATCTACATCCACACCCTCCTCTTCCTCCCCTTCCTCCTCCTCACTACCATCCTCCTCCTCATCATCACCCCTCAACCCCCTCCTCCTCCTCCTCAACTGCACCCCCCTCTGACTCCTCCTCACCCCCCTCACCCTCATCCGCTCAACAACCCCCCCCTCCAACCCCGCAATCACCCGTCCAACTTCCTCCCCCCGCACCTCTTTATCAATAACCCCTCGGATCGTCTCCTCCAGGATCTTCGTCGTAGCGTTCACTCTCTCTTCGAACTCTTCAATCCCACCCTCCTCTTCCTCTTCCTCCTCCTCACTTCCATCCCCCTCACCACCATCATTGTTATTATTTCCGGAGGTATGAGAGCGTAAGTTTCTCCTCCTTTCTCTGGCCTTCTTACTCCGTTCCTTCGCATCCGTTAACCGCTCGTTGATCTCCCCCGCCGCATCGGTGAGTTTCTCCTGCGCGTGCTGGAGATGTGTTTTCAGGGTGGAGGAGGTGTGTGTTGCGAGGAGGGCGGAGAGGGCGGGCGCGGTGGTGGGTTGGTGCGATAGGGTGGTTAGGGTGCTGGTTGGGGGTTCGTAGGGGGGGAGAGGGGGGGTGGATTCTCTCTCTCTTGCTCGTGGGGTGGGTGGTGGGCGGGAGCGTTTGGGCATTTTGGTTTCTTTTCGGAAGTGACTTTGGGTGCGGTGCGGTGTGTGTAGTTCAAGTGGGTGTGGGTGTGGGTGTGGGTGGTGGGTATAGGTAAGGAGGACAGTAAAGATATGAAGAAGGAGGGGTATATGGTGTAGGTTTCTTTGTTGTATGTTTCTTTGAGGCTAAAGATTGATTGATGGATAAAGATAAGTTGAAAGACGCGACGCGATGCGATGCGTGGCGCTAGGCTGTTTTGGGAAGTATGGTCTTAAGAGGGTTTCTTTATCTTATCGGTGTCATTATTATAGGATGGAGTATGGAGTACTCCGTAGTTATATGATAGTTGGATTGAAGTAAATACATTTCATGTCCATTACATCTATTTACCCTCATCTAATACTATGTATCCATCACACCTTATAGAAGCAAAACGCATGGTAGAAACCTGTCCTGTTAGCGTACACCCTCTCCAGCTGCAGTAAAGGAATACTCACTGACTGCCTCCTGCTCCTCCGGCGTCATCGTCAACTCGCCTGTCGTGCGATCTCTCACGCCCATCCGCTCGCTCAACGGCCCCAGCTCCGGATCGTCCTTCTCATCCCGCCACACCTCCATGAACGGCTTGCGGTACTGCAGTTCCAGATTGTACTCCTCCGTCAACCTGTTTCATTAGTATCGTAATCCATAGTTCGTGGTCATGGGATGGACTCACGCTCGGAACGCCTCCCACGGCACCACATACTCCGGGATCTCGCCCACCGCTTCCTCCATGAAGTAGCTGTACTTCCATCCATACGGCGGCCTGAAGATGCCATCCTCCGGCGTATCTCCGGGGAACTTCACCCGATAGATCGAGTTACCCCATTCTGCCTTGGCCTCCTCCTCCACCTCACCATCTTCCGGCTCAGCATCCTGCTTCGCCGCTTCACGGTCCTTGCGCTTGGCATTGAACTCGGCCACACGGGCACTGATAATGTCCGAGTTAGGACACACGCCGATAAACCGTCCACCCTTCTTCAAACACCCCGCGACATTGCGCAGCATCTGTCGGGCCTTCTCTTCACTCTCAAACGCATAGTGAATGGCAAACATAGATGCCACCACATCAAACCCACCCCCACCCCAGCGCGACGCCATCATCGACCCTCCCGGTCCAACATTCGGATCCACTCCCACCTGCTGAACAATATCAATATCTCCCAACCACTCCCCAAAACAATCCTTCGACCGGAACTCGCCATGAAACAACGGCGGTCCTCCCCTCCGTCCACCACCACGAGGGCCTCTGCCTGAACGCATCCCCGCATACCGCTCGCGCGCCTGTATAATCGACACCTCCGCTGGATCCAATCCCACGTACAGATCCACCGGCTGCGGCGCAAGCTGCCACTTGCCCAGATCACCTCCCTTACCACATCCCAAATCAATCACCAGCAACCGCTTCTCCTCCATCGGCGGCGGCCCCGTTCCATCCGCCCAATCCTTCGTCCCAATCGCCCGCGCCACAAACTCCTCATCCGGTGAGAACTTTTGAATCAACGTACTCTTCACCCAGTTGTTGAAACTGCGTAGCCCCTTAATCTTACTCTCCGTCTTGCGCCACTCCCGCCCCCGCTGCGGAACGGCATTGTAATGCTGTCTCACGATGTCCGTCACGCCCCGGCTCTGCGAGTTGCGCATCGCATCTTCTTCCAGCGCGCGCTCCCGCTCCTCCTGTCGCCGCCGCAGTGTCTGCGGGTCCACGAGGCCTCGCCGCGCTCCGCCACCAGGTCGTTTCCGCTGACGCGCCTGCACTTCGGGCGACGGAGACCGCGGAGGAAGGGGCGGTGAGGGGGATCGGGGCTGTGGTGCTGCGCGTGCTGCTGTCTCGTCGCCATCGCGGCGCGAGTAAGCCGAGGGAGGTGCCTGGCCGCGTTTCCGGAGCTTCTGGTGTCGTTCTTCGAGTCGCTTACGCTTTGAAATGGGACGGTCGTTCGCTTGGTCGGCGGGTGGTTGCTGCTCCGATGTCTCGTCCTCGAGCTTGCGCTTGTGGCTATCGGCCGCAGGAGAGCTCTGCTCGGCGTAGACATCGGCAGAGCCAGAGCGAGAGTAGTCACCCATTTTGTTTATCTTGTGTTTGCGACGTGATTGGGAGGATGGAGGTGTCGGGATAGAAGGCTGCTGCTGCTGCTGCTGCTGCTGCTCCGATTGTTGAGAAAGATCGGTAGCGGTGGTTTGAGGAAGGGGAAGAGGAAGGGGTTCACTCGTAGAAGTCACAGTAGGATCATGAACCTATATTGAAGAAGAAACCCCAATGAACATCCACAATCAGCGTCAGATATCCTGCAATGGAAAGAGAAAGATGGAACACTGAAAAAAGAATGTCGCGAGACAATCAGACGCGCAGGAGCATTTTCTTTTCGGAGTCTTTTATTTGCGGGAAGAATAAGTAATCACCGCCTCCGCCGAGCGTAAGCGCCACTTTAGTTCGCAGTGGATGAGAGACTGCAGGACTCCACTTATTCTCTCCACTGCAAAGAACTCTGTACTGAATTTAAAAAGGAATGACTAACTCACCGGTTTGACTTCCTCTGGCTGCGATGGTGTTGCTTCGATGGAAGCAGACACTGGCGCCGGTTCAGCAGCAACCACAGGCTGCTCCTCCCAGCGGTCTCGGGCGGGATCGTACATGCTGATGCTGGGCCGTTGGCCTGTGCGCTGTTCCTCTTCAGAGGCCATGATCAAAGTGAGACGGAAGTGAAAGGGATAAATAATATGATACCTCCCATGAAAGGGGTAGTAGACTTAGTAGCAGGGATAAAGCAAGTTGAAGTCGCACGGAATCCAAGCTGCTTTAAGTTGAGTTTCCTTGGTTGAAACCCCTGCCTTGAACCGTGTTTCCTGCCTGGCCGGATGCGGCCTGTGAATGGAGTGAAACAGTAACGGTAGATGCCTACCATCATTAATTACTACATGATATCCTACTATTCAGTGTGGTGAGA